AATAAGAGCCTCTTGCGCCTACACGCTTACAGATGATACTCCATTCACAAACCCACAGAGAAGCATAACAACCGTCAAGGTATTCAGCAATTAGATTCTGAAAAAAACAAGAGACTCACAAACCCTCTAAGAGGTTTTGTCCAGCTGCTTCCTGAATCACCCTCGAATTTTATCTGTAAAGTGACAGGCCATCTTAGAAAGATTTCTACGAAACTAGCACTCCTTAGGAGGAAAATTGAGGACACTCAACTTGGAGCATCTGTCCAGAAGCAAGCTGCAAGAGCAGCGTCACTCTACCCTGACCCTCCTAAGCAGAGCTAGTGCACTTCTCCGAAAGTGGCTGCTAAAAAACAAAGGCAACAATATAATTTTCACTATAATTCACACAGGCTCAGACTTTTTGAAAGTTCATTGGCTAGATAAAATTCACAGTTTTCCATCTCAGACTGCTTATGACTTTTATTTGGAACAAAAAAAAAACCAACCCAGAAGTGAACTGTTTTTAAATCCAGCACAGGTAAATAAATCAATTTCCTTTCTTTAAAAGAGCTCAGGCTGTACCCATTTCATAGGCTTATAAAGAAACTGCTGAACTTTGAAAGTTGTCAGGGCAGAGCTTTAATAAGGATTAGGTCACTGCTATGAAAAGCAATATTGATTTTAAATCTAATAAAGCTGAATCAAAACACAGTTATTAAACACATGCAGAAGGAGTGGCTACTTGTAAGTAACTTGCTCTTTGAAGAACAGTGGCTCGAACCTGAAACTAAGCTTTTTTTTCCCCTGAATGTAGGAAGAGAGGATCTGCTGGGTAACTTAAGCAAACCTATACAAAGCAGATTTAGGCAGACAAAGGCAATATAAAGGATTAATTGCCTGCAAGTATCACAGCAGGGAGAGCAAGAGGTTGCTCATAACTACAGTAGAGTATCTCAAACAACTGGGGCTCAAAGCTTTTAAAAATGCACCATTGCAAGGACCAGGACACAGGGTCACAGCTTTCCAGCAATTTGTGGAGTACTGCATTTTGGATGTCTCAACTTTTGAGACGAGCAGGACACGCAGAAGGGCGTTATCTTGCCTAGAAGCTTAAGGCAAGACCCTATAGGGTTCAGAGGGCCCCCAGTGTTCAGTTTTGGGCCCCTCACTCCAGGGAAAACACTGTGGTGCTGGAGCGTGTCCACAGAAGGGAATGGCGCTAGGGAAGGGTCTGGAGCACAAGTCCTGTGAGAAGCAGTTGAGGGAGCTGGGGGTGTTCAGCCTAGAGAAGAGGAGGCTCAGGGACGCCTTATTACTCTCCACAACTCCCTGAAAGGAGGGTGCGGAAAAATGGGGGTTGGTCTCTTCTCCCCAGTAACAAGTGATGGGACAAGAGGAAACGGCCTCAAGTTGCACCAGAGAAGGTTTAGATTGAATATTGGGGAAAATTTCTTCACCAAAAGGGCTGTCAGGCATTGGAAGGGGCTGCCCAGGGAGGTGGTGGAGTCACCATCCCTGAAGGGATTTAAGAGACATGTGGATGTGGTGCTCAGGGACATGGTTTAGTGGTGGGCTTGGCAGTGCTGGGTTAACGGGAGGACTTGATGATCTTAAAGGTCTTTTCCAACCTAAACGATGCTATGATTCTAAAAGCCAGTATGCCATGTTATAAATAGGTGGCGTACAAGAGCTGGAAGCAGGACAATTGAGCCAAGACAAGCAGAGTTGCTGTCTGATCTTGTATGGATGGTATTAAGAAAGCCAAAGCCAACCTGCAGTTGAATCTGGCAAGGGATGTGAAGGGCATCAAGAAAAAAAAAAAGTAGAAGATTAGGGAAATCATGAATGAGGGAAGGGACCTGGTGATAAATTACATGGAAAAGGCCATGGTACTTAATGTCATCTTTTCCAGTAAGCCTGTTCTTTAGGAACCCAGGCTTCTGAGACCAGAGGGAAAGTCTTGAGCAAGGAAGACTTACCCTTGGTGGAGGACCACCAGGTTCAGGGAGCACTTAAAAAAAGCTGGATATACCTTAAGTCCAGGGGGCCTGATGGGTTGCACTCACACGTGGCAGGACAAGAAGCAGTGGGCACAAATTAAAAACCACAAAATTCCTTCTGAACACAAGAAAACCTCTCTTTTTACTGTGAGGTCAGTCAAATACTTGAACAGGTTGCCCAGAAAGGTTGTGGAGGCTCCATACTTGTAGATATTCAAAACCCAATCCCATATGGTCCTGGGCTACCTGCTCTAGCTGACCCTGCTCAAGCAGGGACCTTGCACTAAATGATCTCATGAGGTTCCTGCCAACCTAGAAGATTTAGTGATCAAAACTTCAAGGATTTTTGTGAGGTACCTCCCACTCTCCCTGGTTCATTACTTGTAATACACACTGGCTAACTCAACCATGTTAAGCTAAAAGGTGGTTCTTCCATCAATTTTCTTTCAGCTCTCTTAGGCTTGATGAATGTAATCTGCTTTAAAGATAATTAAATCATCATAAACCATCTTCTGCTACTTTTTTTTTTTTTCCCCTGCTTGGATCGAAGGTCTCAAGCTTTGAACTTAATACCTCTTGAACTTATGAACTACGCCAGGTAATTGCTGGAAAAATAACTTACAATGTCATTGTCAAATCTAATGGAAACGAGAAGCAGCATAATTCCCTAGAAGTTTTAAATTATTCCAACTCCATAAAAATGTACGAATTAAATTAAAAACACATGTGTAAAATGTTACAACAAAGGTGGAAAGATCAAGTGGTCAATGACAAGGACATTTCTAATGTTCAGTTCGCTCTCCTAACATAAACTGAACCTTTCAGTATGTCATTTGGCTTTAGGTGCTGCAACCTAACCTCCTTAAAGGACAATTTTGCAAAGAAAGCGCTGATATGAACATGTTCCTTACAATACACAAGTAAGTGCATCCCAGGAAACTCCCTAAAAATCTTTCTATTTTGCAACTTTACGCACGCATGCTCGTGGAATTTAAGAAAATTTAAGGTAATTGAAGTGCAAGGGAATGAATATAAAGTTAACATTGAAAATGCTTAAAAATATATCTGAAACAGTATCCACCATACATAACTTTTTCCCTTAATAAGCTCTCTAGCATTCTTTGCAATGAGGTTACTCCTCTATTTCCAAACACAGGAGCCTCCGGCTATCACGTACTGCCACCATAAAACACTGTTGAAGGCATTGCCCCTCTAGCCCTGGACAGCTAATGAGGCCGGTACAGAGGAAACTATACATCTCTAGTCACAGACGTTTTTAAACAACTCCATACAACTGGTGAGACTTCTTATCTTTCTCATTGAAATACATAGAGCAGAAAGAAAAAAAGTCATAGCAGCGTCAGGTCACAACACAAGGAAAACCACAGAATTTATCATTTTTCTGTGGAATGATTCATAAGGAAAAAAAGGCAGCATTTCTTTGCTAGTGACATTTCAGATCAGCTGGCATGTCTACTAGACACGATGTGACCAATTCTTCCCAGTACCTTCTCGGCAGTAGTAAGTTCTTAGGACACCGAGAACTTCGAAGATACTACTGAACAGGCTAGACACGCCTGTTTATTCATCACACACAGAAAAACCAGCGAATCATTTGGGTTGGAAAAGACCTTTAAGATAATGAAGTCCAACCGTTAACCCAGAACTGCCAGCAGAGTCCTGCTCCCCCTTGAACAGTGTTGGCGGGGGTGTGGGGGACACAGGAGTTGGTGGGGTGGCACAGAGTGGCCACCCGTTTCACCTGGATGGGGAAAAGGAGGGGGAGTGAGAAGAAAACACCCTGGCACCAGCAGAAGCTGTTTTCTTCCTCCCCCTCGCCCTGAAACAATTGGAGTTACAGGCTTCATTCTATCAGGGACACGTCTACGTACCGCCAGAGTGGCAGCAACCGGCACGCCACAGGGCAAGGGCTCCTGGCAAAACCACGTCACAGCAGTTACGCGGTAATAGAACCATGGAACGGTTTGGGTTGGAAGGGACCTTACAGACCACCTAGTTCCAACCCCCCTGCCATGGGCAGGGACACCCTCCACTAGACCAGGTTGCTCCAAGCCTCATCCAGCCTGGCCTTGAACACTTCCAGGGATGGGGCATCCACACCTCCAGGTGTGAGCATGCACATGAGTGCCAAGCGTCTCGGGTCCCGCGGAAGGGCATTGCATACCCAACCGACCGACATACCCTGCTGGAACACTGAAGGAGGTTTTCCAGAGATCTTTTTCAGTACTTGATATATCCAAAGTCCGGGTGCTTCAAAAACAGGTGTCCCTTAAACTGTTCGAAAGGCAAGAGCCCTACCTGCATGCTGTGCCACACAGCCTAATCCACTGTATTTTTCCAATATTACAGATTAAACATTACATATGAAAAGCTACTCCAGGAGTCACGTGAGGCTAAACAGTTGATGCATTCCAAAAAATGAAAAACAAACAAACAAAAAAAAAAATCAGGGAAATTGCAAGGTTCAATTTTAGATGTTAATAAAAATGTATCCACCCTGACACTGCTGCACCAGAGATGTTAAGGCAGTGTAGGCTGGCCTATAAACACTGCCATATATATGCCCCAGAAGGAGAATGGGGTTTACTCAGAACCACCATAATTTGACCACAAAAGCTTGGTGTTAACCCATTTAACAGTACAACTCAGCCCTAAAAGGGAGACTTCATCTGTTCTAGTAAGGCTTTGCGAATTCTGCATCCAGAGGACTAAAGCCAAAACACTCATCTTCACGACAAGAAGGTAAAAAGTGGAGTTTTCCAGCATCGGGTTAACAGGAATTATTTTCCTTTAGAAAGGGAATTGCTGCTTCAAGACCTATCGCGCTGAAAAGCTAACACTTGCAACTCAAAATAACCGAAGCCTGCTCAGGGAACAACGTCCTACTTTACCTGGTTTGCTGTCACGACAAAAACACCCTCCCAAAATGCCGACCTCCAAACGCCACAGAGATCCACCAGCGCATCACGGCTTCTCTCTCTCCTACACCTAAGGCTAAAACGTGCATCGTAAGAGACTGAAGTCTGCAGAGAAATTCAATTGCTGAAGACGAAATGATGACGGGCTCGCTGGGACGTGCATCGTAAGAGACTGAGGTCTGCAGAGAAATTCAATTGCTGAAGATGAAATGACAACAGGATCGCTGGGTGTATTTACCATATGGCAAAGCCACAAGCCCCCTTGCCCAGCAAAGCTCCTCCGACCACGAGGAAAAACAATCCCGAGGTTTGAACACTAAACACGCAGGAAGGTGGGAAACACGTGCGCACGCTGCCTGTGTAATGTGAGGTCACCGCTCCTGTGCATTAACGTATAGCTTTTGTTTTCGGGACTGTTTCCTATCTACTCTGGTAAGGCACGTGCCTCATTCCGGTCAAAGGCCGCACGTAACAATGCGATGCGGCTATCTCACCCAGAATCTTACTTAATATTTCAAACCCTGGTTCTGAGGAACGAGCTCTTGATTTCTACATAGAGTTTTACAGCGTGACCATCGCTGGAGCACACGCGCGCTCCCAAACACGAGCACATCTGTGTTGATGATGACCCGGTGGCAGGCAGGGAGCGGAGCTGCTCCATGCCATCCAACATGCAGCCGAGGCAGAGATTATGGTCAAACCATGCGCTGGGTGGGGGTTCTGATACGATACGGTTGATTTTAAGATGACACGTTTTAGATGTGTGACCGCACCCCGGCAGCTACCGGCCCCGTTTCCCTGTCCTGCGAAAGGAGTGGAGAAGATGAGCGTGCCACCGCAAGATGGATCTGCTCGGCAGGACACAGCTCTGTGGCAGAGAGGGAAAGCCAATTCCCAGTCGAAATTGGGAGAGTCAAGCTGCCTTGGCCCTAAGGCTCCTTCTTTCCCCTCTTCCACTCATTATGAGTCCTCCAATTTTGGCAACGAAGGGGGAAGCGCACCACCGGAGAGCAGCCTTGCTTTTGCCCTTCTCTGTACTAACTTCAGAGTCCTGTGAAAGAGATACCACTTGATCATCAAAAACTGGATCAGAAAGATGAGAAAAAAGAAAAAGTGAGCGAGACTTGCATGGGAAACTTAACTACTCCCATGTCCTTGCTCGAGTGCTCAGCTTGGCGACTTCAAAACTGCTCTTTTCATTCATGCACGCCTCTAGCCCCCATTTCTGAGGGGGGTTGCGTGGGTTTTTTTTTTTAGATGTGGGTTTTTCCCCTCCTTGAAAGCCAATACAAATGTCACCACCAGTGACAACAAGAACACCGGATGAGCAGGGCTGGGACCCTCATTTTCCATACAGGGCCTTGCACTGAGCCAAGGGAGTCACCCTCAGCAAGCCAGCTCCTGAACGGCACCAACCACGTGCTTTGCTATGCTCAAGAGATCCCCAATTTGCTGCTGACAGCGGTAGACTTCAGAGCCCACGCTGGAAGGGATCACACCTCCGGGACCACAGGTCCCCTCCCATCACCCCAAGGAGACCTGTCCCTCCCTTGGACCCCTCCCACCCAACCCACCCCTCTCCTTCCCTACCCAACCACCCACCCTTGGCCTCGTGTGTCCAATTCCAAGGCACAGCTCCAAAGCCTTGGGCACCAAGGCTTCACAGCCCAATTCCCTACATGATTATTCTTTAATCAGGAGCAAAACACCGTATTTTTCCTTAGCTGCCTTCTTGGAAGCCGCAAGACTTGCTTTGGCTGCAGCCTTCTCAGAAATTTCATCTGGTGTAGACACCTAACAGGGAAAGTTTAAGGCCAAAATCTTAAAGTTTGGAAAAATCACGAGCAATTGTAAACAGTCTCATATTATTTACAGGAAATCCTGTAAATAATCCTGTAAACCTTAAGAGACAGTGCTGACAGTTCTGCTAATAATTAAAAGGCAGCAATCTATTACATTATTTTTAGTTGTGTCCTTACTCTCCTACACACAAGGGTCTTAAAATATCCGCGCATCTGGGAAAAGTCTTTTTCCATGTCAGCACTTGGATGCTATCCCACGGGATAAATTTGCCACACGCATACAGCGCTAGCACCAAACCCATTTTAACTCATTACTTATATAAATCAAATGCAGGGCAATCATCCCTGCGCAATCAGTGAAATTACACTCCCCCCCGTGCCCCCCTTGGCCTGCCTCTGCTATGGATGCGACGGCTCACGGCTCTAACAAAGCTGAAATTCAGAGTGCTGCGGGAGGACTCGCCCGGCCCCGGTCGCACACACTCTTCCAAGCTCCTGGGAGGTCCAAGCGAAAGTCTGAATGAGTTCAGCGGGTACGTCACGGCGAAGTCTTTGGACACTTACAAGCGCTGGCAACGGAAAAGCCTTAAAAACCTCAAACAAACAAACCACCGAGCTGACATTTATTTCCCAACAAAGAAACCCTACCTAGCACCCTGCGTCCGAAGGTCCTGTTCACGAAGCGTGTCGGGAGGGAGGGGGAAGGATTTCTATGGCGGCAGCAGCTCCCCACCACCCCGGTGTGCGGGGCTGAACGAGGTCCAGGGCTGGCACCCGCGGCGCGCGGTGGCAGCTCTCCAGAAGTACATGATTGACGTCAGTAACTTGTGTAATCATCCTGCCTTAGCTCGAGTCTATAAACAAAGTTTTGGGGGGTTGTGTGGTGGCTTTTTTTTTTCCTTTTCTGTGTTTTTTAATCCAGCTCTCAGTAGCTGTATTTTCTCACAGGGCTGGAACAGTGAAAACAGTTGGAGAAACCTCCACCATAAATTAAAACTGCAGTAATCTGAAAGGTCCGCCTGCCTCAAACCTGTCCTCCCGAGCCCAAAACAGACTACTGGATTAGCTTCTTCCTTAAAGAAAGCCACCACCGGAACTCCTTGAGAAAAGACTTTAGAAAGTCTCAAAACAGCACAAATCACAGTCAGAAACAGTGTTTTTACACTGCAAGTCTGGCAACAGGCTGTGCCTTCCGAAGCCCTCGGAGAAAACCTCAGCCAGGGTACAACGTCACAGCACCATCCATACCACTTGTGACCAGACCGCTTGAGTTTCACCTTCCCAGAGGCTGAAACATAAGGATCGATCTTGTCTTTTTTAATGCATGCTCAGTGTAATCAACTCAAAGCACCTTCGCTGCAACACTGGGATGCCCAGACAGATGGTTTTGGCTACAGAGCACCTGCAAAACCTGCACACTGATGAATGGTGCTCTGAGATGTTCACCTCATGTTCTTCAAGTGATTTACAGAAAGCGAGATAACAAACACAGCACTTGCCTTCTTCAAAGCAGTTTTTGATTCACATCTAATTGATCTTCAAAACAACCTCTGCAGGATGCACAGCAATACTGTCCTCATTTTCAGGAGAAGAAATGGATGGGACACTGTAATGCTTTACACAGGGCTGCAGTTAAGAGAATCTGGACTGGTGATGAGAACAGCTTTTCTCTTTCCAAAGGTAATTCCAGTGAAAAATGTTTCAGTAGATCTGAATACCTTCACTTGCAATTAATTTCTCCTGCTATCATGTCTGAAATCCCTCACTTTTTACTGTTTTCTCAAATCCGTATTTACTGCTCCTTCTCCCTTGCAAATGCAATAAATACACAGTGGGTATTCTCCCCATATTCCTTGACAGCATTTTATGTTTGCTGCCACAAAACTGACATAAGATCCTAACGTGGATGAACGGCCGCAACGACAACTTGAAAAAAAAATACTACTGGAAAGCCAGGAGTTCGAACCATTCTGCCTTTCCGCCATCAGCAACACAGGCACTATCCTTGCCTTGGTGACAGACATCCACATCCTCGTTGATGTATTTCTCCAAATCATGAAAAAGAGGTGCAAGGACGAAGGCCAGCTGGTTAGGGGGGACGAGACCGCATACACTACCGCGCAAGAAACTCTGAAATAGCGGCGCCTACGGTTGGTGCTGATGCTGTGCGAGGAAGACTGTAAAAGCATCATGCCTACCTTGTTGATGTGCAGTTGCTGTTGCTGGAATTGCTGTTTGTGTTTCTCCAAGAACTGCTGGTGCTGCTGCTGGATCACTAACTGCTGGAGGGCCTGGGCGTTCTGAGGAAGGGGAGCAGACTGCGTGCGCCCCAGCGGGCGATGCTGCCGGAGCTTGTGTATTGAAGGGGAGACCCGTTCTCCGCCAACCAGAGACTGTGCATGGAGGGGCAGTCCTGAAAGATACCAGTCTGAAGATAATATGGAGGAAAAAACAGCAGAGAAGAAAAAAAAGGAAGAAAAAAGGAAGGGAGAAAACGGCTGTTGAGTAACACTGTTGGTGACAATGATATATAACGTTAAAACCAGCCACCTTGCCACTTACAGCTGAAGCATCCTTAAAAGAGAACAGATAACAATTAATTGTCACTGCATGGAGAAACGCTTTCTTTTGAATCCTTTGCTTGTTTACTCAGAGACTCTAGGAAAACGTTTGGTTTCTTAAAACCAGCAATACCTTACAGACCCTTCTGTCGCTCGGTGGGTGACATGAATTAACCCCGCAGTGGTAGTCTGGAAAAGTCTTACAGCTTGCCTGCTATAGGGAGCAATCCCAGGTTCATTGCTAGGGAAGCACCAACCCAAGCTGCCAGCCCACAGCATCCAGCAATTATACCTTACGGGGGGCTCAGTGCATATGCTGAAGGATGACCGATGCTGATGCAGCTGCTTCCTTCTCCAGATCGCCTAGGGAAGCACGTCTGCCCTCGGCTGTGCTACATCCCACCCTGCAGAAATGACTAGGGGTGAAAACTTTATCATGTGAGAAACCCCTGACCAGGTTAGCGTTGGAAAAAGTCAGTCCCTTGAAGCATTTTAGGAATATAGGAGCCATCAGGCTTTGTTATTTCTGTAGAAAGTAAGCACATTAGAGGCCGAGATGACACATAGCTAGAATTGTTTCCCTTGCTGTCCTGTGTACACATGCTAGTAACTTAATGAAAATGTAAGGTTATTTTGGGATAACTTGCATTACTCACATGCCCTCGGCAATTTGGGTGTCTCTGACGGCTACAACGTGCAACACCTATCTATCTGAGCTCCAGTAAGGGCATGTCTTTAGGAAGTGCTGTGTCTTTTCAGCTGTTCTTGAGGTAAGCCAGCTCTTGCTCTGCTCCCTGAAAAGGTACCTTCACATACTTCTTAGAAAGCTGGGCCTTGAAGACACACCCAACACAAAGCCCAGCCCATGAGTGGAGGAACTGAGGATAAGCCTTCACTTTTGCTTCTCACACCTTGGGATAAGGAAGACATCACTGGTGTGAACTGCTGTCTCCCTAACGTGTATAAGGCTGCGCACACTTTAGGAAAAAACTACTCTTTTGCTTTATCTCATTATATAAAGCAAAGTCAAGACTGCACAAGTGGTCAGTAATGCTCAGAAATACTGCCCAGTTCAGGGGTCAGGGAAGTTATCAGTCAGCATCTTCTCTTTCTTCAGTCTGTGGTTGAGGAGAGAGAAAAGCTGCCAGATGAATACAGCAGGCTATAAACACCTTGATGTTTCTGTCCCAAACATGACCTCTTTATCCCACTGATTCACAGAACTGCCCTGCATGGAAGAATCTAACTCATTTAAAAGCCTCTCTTCCTGGGGAAAGATTTTCTGAGCTTCTCCCATCCTTTCCTTTCCTAAAAAGAATCATGTATAAGTGTACCTTATTTTCTAAGCACATGTGTGTATTACATGTAGACATAGGTCCATTGATGGAACAATGTGGTCCATCTCCCTTATAGAATAATTCATCCCAAAAATTCAGATTAGACAGCAGAGGAAGGGATCCTGTGCACTTTGCATAGGACAACTTGGAAGACTACCTTCCTCCAAGTGAATGACCAAGGTCTCCGTGTGAAAGCTTTCCAGGGAGACACCTTGTCCCTACTCCAAACATACATGTCAACGTGAAGGACATTATCCAGAGCAATCTGTCACCAGAGGATCGTCAGAGCTAAGGAATTCTGCTCTGGTTTCCCCAAACACCCTCGTCTACCTTCCAGCACAGACAGAGCATGTCATCGTGCTAGATCATTCTGCAGCTGTCAGGAGACTATCTCCAGAGCTGGAGGCTATCAGCAGAATACTAATAAACTCCACTCTGCTTCCAAGGAAGTCTGAAGTAGTAACTGTAGTTTGGCAGCCAGTCCACTTAGGGCTTTTGAGACCATGTGTTAGCTTGCTCTCTTTCAGCTGCTGCATCTGGAACGTGTGTTTCTTCTTGTTGCTCTGTTGTAGAGTGAATATTTCTCCTAAGTGTTGGTTTATAACACGTTGTACTCGCTCTGAAAACACCGCACGTAGCAGGTGGACTAGAAGGAATACACTTGGAAGCAAACACGTCACACTGTAAACTGAGGGAAGCTTTCAGAGAGGTCAAATGGGAAAAAGAGCATCATTTCTTCCCACCTGTGATTTAAAGCAAACGTCAGCATGGCCAGGGAAAAAGTTTTGGTGGTAACAGGGGTAATCTTCCCCAACGGCTCGACACCAACAGACCTTGGGCAGAGGGCGACTGGTGAAGAGCCATGGGTAACCTGATTGTGCCACAGCAGCCACGGCAGAAGGGGATAACACAAAATTATGCAAAGCTTCAGGGAATCTGCACACACCACTCTGACTGCTCGAGAGTGCTGGCTAAATACCACACTTCTGTGCTTCAGCTTCCCCGTATGTACGTGCTTCTAAGCTTATTGCAATCCCACGTGTGTTCCTGGGGTGTGAACGTCAAACCAGACACAAGCCCAACGCGAGCCGGGCAGTAGTGCTTCAGTGATCGACATCCCTCCAGAGCTTCCATGAGAAATGGAATGAAAGCAATAAGAACCAACACGTCTGTAACTCACGCAGAACATCCTTCATCCCAACATCACACTCTGTAAAACAGCAACGCATCCCACTGGGGATTATTGCTTTGAATCGACCCTATTTATAGAAATACGCCTTCCCACAGGTACTTAGTTCTGAAAATATGACACAGGGAGTGATTCGAAGCAATTAGCATACTGAAAGTGTAACATATACAAACAAATACAATCTGTTTGAACGCAGTTGATTTTGCCATGTTTTTGCCATTAATAATAATGATGAAAAGCAAGTATTTTAATCTGAGATTTTGTAAATTCATGCCTTTCCTCCATGATGAACAGGAAGGGTAATCATAAGACGCAATGTTTATGTCCCCACCTTAATCTTAAGCAGTTAGAACTCTAACTATATGGTTTTAAATTGTGACCTCCAAGCTTATGCTTTACTTCTGGAAATAAATACCATTTATTGTCATTTAACCCAAATGACAAGGCAGCTTCCCCTTACGTCTGGATGAAGAGGGCAACCTCTGATTTTGCAAACGCCGTCACTACCCGAAGTATCAACAAGCACAACCTAAAGGTTCTATGTTATACCTACAGAACGTACAGATGATGCGCTCTCTCTGGTACAAGAGAACAGACCTCACAATAACCCAACAGACTCCGCTCTCCCTCGTTCCCCAGCTGGGACTGTTTTGCACATCAGCCCCGGAACTCACCTGTGACTAAGGGTGTTTGTGCAGCTGGCTGTTCCAGTAAGACCATGTGTTGCAGAAGAGGGTTATGTGCAGTTCCCCCATCTCTTTCCAACGTTGTAGTGCTCAAGTAGGGCGTGAGGTGGGTGCCAGGAAATAAAGAGATCCGCTGCTGTAAGGTTGGGATAGTGAGTCTCTCCGCATCCTGCTGTGCTGATCCTCCCTGTGAAGGCACAGTTGATGGCACGGCGCGGTAAGGGATAAATCAGCGCAAGCAACGTTTCAAAGGCTGCATCCCCTCCCCTCCCAACTTACACTGGAAGGGCCAGTTGCAGGCAGTCCTAGCGTGATGTTGGGCAAAGAAGGAGACGTGTAGAGTGGAAGTTGTGTTACTGAGCCTTCACGATTCACAAGTCTGTGAGCCAGGCTGGTCTGGAAACAAAAATCAAGAACATTGTCCCGGTGAGAGAGCATCCACAGACGGGATCAAGGGCACGGTACACTTGCTGTGAGGCCACATCAGAAACACACAGAGCTGACACTGGAAACACTGGACAGGGGAGCTAAACTGAGCTTTAGATCCAGCCTAAATAGGCCCAGACTCGGTGCGCGCCCTGAACGCCGCTGCCGTGGCCAGCGCAGGGGTAACGAGAGCAGGATAACCCACACAGGGATGATCTCGCTCTGCAACCGCCACCAACACCGCCGCCCTACAGAGAGACATTTTGCAGCTTATTTGATTTTTCCTGGAGTCTAAAGATCACCCCTGCATCCTCACCAGTACTCTGCTTCTGCGCAGTCTTCCGGCAGTGCCACTGCAAAAAGCTTTTGCAAAGAAGGTTTAACAGTTTACTTGTCCTTCTCGAGTATTTGCCCTTTAAAAGCTAAAACAGATTACCTTAAAAAAAAAACCCCAGAAAGGCATTTCAACGGCTGTTGTTCTCTTTAGGAAATCACAGACAATTTATGCTATTTACTAGGGTGCTTTAGCTTAACTCAGACTTCAAAATTTCATCAAAAAGCCTTGAGGTTGCATTTATGTAGCTATTTCCTGATTTCGAGGGTGAAATGCAAGATTTTCTGTATTATCTTATGGCCATTTAAAGCAGGAACACTTAAGTCAAAATACCTTTAATTTGAAAACAAGACCCATTTGAAACATGCGCTAGAAAACACATTATAAAAATTACATTATTCTAAACTGCCCGATTTTCCTGTTAGGAAACAAGTGTTCTGATCACCCTGAATTCTCAGTAGGTGACTTTCCAACTTAAATAAAACAGAGTTTAGATTTCAAAAAGACTTTCTATAGAACCTCTCTTGTTTAACTCAGGTGCTATTATGAAAAAAGGGATTATGATTAACAATATTTATCTTACGGAACAATCTGTATCAATGTAACAGAGACCTGAAGAATGGCTTTATACTTTTGAGACCTAAATTCATAATCCTGTAAGTCAATGAGACTTTGCAAGTTATTTCCTTGGTTGTAGGGCTAAGACAGTTTGGGATAATATAAACCTATTTTTATCCCTCAAAGATGCTAAGGTGAAACTTAAAAAAACCCTGCAGCAAACTTTTAGGGGAAAAAACACATCCAAACACGTAAAAACTAACACTGTAGAACAAATGTTTTCTATAAAACAATCTTCAAGAGCAATCCTGCCTCCTTGATCGATGGAAGTTTAACAGGACTGCTTTAACAGGACACCCCAGCTCTGCACTTGAGGTTAGTACTGCCCACGCAAGGAGAGGAGGAGTAAAGATTTATCACGTCCATCCTTGTCGCCGTTATCAGACACTGGGCTGCCTTTTCAAACAGACTCTTTGATGGGCACTAACTTGCCAGTCATTCTGCCAGCATCCAGCTTTGTCTAAATTCCTGACGTTCAAAGCCACCACGTAGTTTTCACAAGACCTTGTGCAAAATTTCACCCGCAAAGTGAATTTTTTTCTTATTTCCTTTTGCCTTCTTGTGCTTTCATTAACATCATTCAAGCTTACCGAAAAGATACCACAGATCAGTCCTCCCGTTAGGAACAGTAAATCTGTTTTTAAGATCTGAGTTGGCGATTTGCTGCCCCAAAGGAGGAAATTTGCAGGGAGCATTTTGCTGCTGAGCAGTACCTGGTAAGGGCACGTGACTGTGCATACCCACACACCTTTTCTCCCAAGTAATCCCGAGCGCTACTGGCAATTTTGCTTTAACTTAAGTTACATAACGTTAGCATGCCACATCAAGGATACAGTAGTTATTGCCAGGGAGTAATGACATATTTTACTGATATCATAAACGAAACAAAACTGCATCCATTTTCTCCTTGAACGCTCAAGACTCTGTAGTTGTGCCTCAAACTATCTCCTGGGGATTCGTTTTAAAAACAGCGAGGAGAAAAATGCGGCAGCTTGACGCTATCAGCAGATGATATTTAGCAGCATTATCATCCCCTTAAATATACAGATCCCATCTATGGGTTGTACACAAACATTTTTTGAATTGCACAGAACAATTTCTGCATGTACTATTTTCATCTGTAGTCAAGTACTTTTTATAGTCTTATGTTAACTGCAATGGCAAAGAATACCATGTACCTTTCAGAGATGGAAAAACCTTTAGATTTAAACCCAGTATTTAAAAATAGATATTGTCTATTTTAAAAGGAGGCAGAGAACTGTAGTATTTCCACAATGAAGGCAAGCACTGAAACTGAAATAATGAACCCAGATACCATCTTTCAACATATCCAAAGTGATTCCAGAGGTGACCCAGCGAACTAAGAAGAGACATATTTCTTATTTAAAATAAAACATGAAATTAAGATCGAAACACTTAAGGTTGTCAACACCATTTTTTCAGAAGCATTTAAATATTTCTAAATATTTAAAAGTGGGAACATGAGGAAGTCTTGTCAATGAATATTAAAGGTATCTCCAACATTTGAGCTCTCAGGTAGTACTGAAGAACAAGGTTTTAAAGAAACCAAAACCCCACCTCATCCGTTTTTTCCCAAATGAAGCTCTACAGGGAAATGGATCTGCTGGCATTCCACAGCATGAAATGCTGGATCAAAGTGCAGTTATTTTTCCCCCAAAACAGATGCGAAGGACTAGGACATCTAGCTAAGCCATTCAAGTACGCCTGAAAAGCCGGGAGGAGAACAGTTTGTGCAGCAGGTTATCGATGTTCGGTTTGCCATCACACAGTGATTTATGTTTCATTCTGTTCTGTGGTGGCAATGATCCAATATACTTCACACAGTACTGGGCAGTTTTAAAACTGGAATGGCACCATCGTTCGCATTTATATTCTTCCTGTTTTCCAAAAACTGTAAGTGGCGACAAAACCCTCTAGATATTATTTTCAGGGAAATAAAAACTAGATTTTCTTCCTGCTTTTTTGCATAGGTTATTTGGAGATGGTGCATCAAATCCTGCTCTTTAAAAAATTCTAGATCAACACATCTCCTTCCTCGCATGCAGCAGCACTGCTGTGAATTAGACGCTGCGGTAGAGTTGCAGAAGAGGCAAAGACAACTCCAGGGAGAGGTTTTGGCAGTACACGGATTTTTTTTCCAAATCATCCACACTGCTCATGCCTCGCTGACAAAACTGCTGCATTACAAGCAGTGATGGAAAGAGTTTTTCTTATAGTCTGCATCCATTTTAATAGGCATCGGTGGTCTAGTCACAGATGATTAGCTCAGACTGTTCAGTTGAAAAATAAAATGGTTAAGGAGATACCACAGCTTCACTTTCACCTGCATGAGCTAACACCAACTCACGGGAAGCTCCCCGCTCTGTTTATATCACAAGAAACTATTGAATCTGCTGTTTTTTCCATCAGCAGTAGCTGGGGATTTGCAGTTTGCTAAGTATAGACAAGATTGACAGCTCCTGGCTCCGCAAAACCGGCAACTCGGCGCTAGCCTTCCCAGGGCTAACGCAAACGTACTTAAGATGTGCCCCCAGCTCAGCTGGTCCTCGGTTCTGCAAACCCAGGTAATAACCCTGTATGTCAGGCACCTTTGCCAGGTCTGCTCCAAACTACTAAATGCATCTCAGAAAACCAGTTCTCTTCACAGCAGCTTCAGCTCCCAGTGGCAAGGGAAGACTCCACCTCATCCCATCTTAATCTTCACAATAATTGTCTAAACCTCATAAGGTCTACAATAGACTAGAGTGGACGTAGAGATGCGCTGGATAACTCGGCAGAGGAGAGGGTGGAGTAGAAGGCCTATTGCCTGTAAGAAATGCTGTCACACTACATTAAAAATAAAAATAAAGCGTACAAAACTAGAAAGCACTAAAGACTTATGTTTATGCTGTAAGAAGTCCTTTCTAACTCTAAATGACAATGTGGGGAGAACAAGCCCAAGTCTGTTTCTACAGCCCTGACATTCAGACAGACACTCATGGGGAGAGCTGGGAAGCTGGATAAAAAGAAAGGCGCCAGTGACATGACACAACCTCACCGGTTTTCTACATGTAAGGCTTATGGTGGGATCCAGTTCACATTGCCACACCCCTGTGTCTGCCTTTAGAAAACGGTGGGTTTCAGTAAGCCTGAACACAGGAGCTTCCGTGTGGAATTAAACTTGGGTTTATTCAGCCCAGTACCCTGAGACTGACATCTGCAGCAGATGCCTCGAGTGATGGTGAAAGCTTATGGGATTATAAACTAGCACAGGGCATGAGGCGCCAAGTTTTCATATCCCTAAGTGGGGAGGAAAAGGTTAAATCTGTTCCCTTTAATCCAGTTCTTGTTTGGCCATATTTAGACCAACCTACTGCACACAACAAATTCACCCTGTACACAACATATGAGAACAGATTCCCCAAATTTTAAAATACGTGCATTTGACCAGGAAACACTCTTCCTTGCTATACCTTGCTAAACCACTTTATTTTTACTCTCTCCTCACAACAGAAAAAACAGCACAAGTTACCACAAGCAGCTTGTGAGCTGGCTTAAACTAGATTTAATAAACAGATAACGCATCCTGTCAGCCCAGATTGAGAGGTAATTCCCAAAGTCTGCTCCAAGTCACGATCTGGGTTGGTTTCGGGGTTTTTTTTAGTGTGGTGCACACCGGTTTGTATGCTCAAATTCCTAAAACTCTGTAAAACTGATTAGAAACCCAAGCATTAAAAATCAGAGTGAGGAAGGACTCTGTACCTCTGCTTGAATACTCGTGACTGATCCTGCAATTCCGTTCTCGGCGCTTATGTTATTGGAGCTGTTGTTTGGAGAGCTGGGACCAGATCCAGGAGCACTGTTGCATGCAGAGTCTAAAAAACACATCCAAAACCAACTTTTAGCGTTACAAACAATCTCTGCGATGGTATTTAGACAGATAACAAGCCCGCAAGTTTTGTTTTGGAGGAAAGCAATCCTCCTCCTCCTCATCTCCCCCTGAAATCTTCCCAGGGCTCCTAAAATACTGACAAAACATTTTCAAATGGTCTGTCCAAGTACCTACTTACCCTATTTATGTCTTCTCCTCATGGGGATTTCTCTTACAGTATATTAATAACGTTAAATATGATTGGAAGATAATAAAAGGCTTGAAGAGGCCAAACTGGAGGATGGCAAATTGACCTCCTTCATTTTTCTAGAAGTGCTTCTCTCACCCTCTTTAGCCCTAACAACATGCTCTCGCCACGTATTGCATCAGACTCCAGGCTGGAACAACCAGGGAACCATCTCAGCATTGACATTTTCCCATGCAGGCTTCTGGTGCATCTGGATTTACTGGAAATACGCTGCCAGCACTGAGTCCTCACGCTGATCATGCATGACAGCCGAGCTCTGCATTTATAAAGCAGCCCCGAAACATCCCAGTGCTGGCGAGTGGGCACATGTGATGTCCCTGCCCTTGTCACCTGGGAAGTGTCTACCCTGCACCAGGTCCTTGGAGAAATACCTTGGGCTGCCCCCTCGCACAACACAACAGCTCCCGTGGCACTGAGCTCCCTAAAACTGCCTCGCAAGGATGGTATTTTACCAGGATGGCAAATTACATTGTTTTAGGAGATTTAAAAGCTGCCTGAGTGAAGTGGGACTGGATGGACAACTGGCCGTGGGCATGGCTGAGCACATTTTACAAAAATCAAGAGAAACTCTACAGGGTCTAAACCAGTAAATCTGTTTCAAATTACTTACTTTTTTTTTGGGGGGGGGGCGGGTAAGTGTTCTCCACTCAGGGAGTAAAACACTTTCTCATTGGAAAGACTCAAGGCTGAGTTAATCCCTTAAAATAATTCTGCTATCACCCGAACTCTCACAAAATCCTCTCAGCTTTGTATATTTTACCAAGACGGTCCTTGTGAACTCACTAAGGAGAACCACAGTGATGACCAGCCTGAAATCAAAGCCTCTCCATTAATGATGCAGAAACAACAACAAACAAAAACAGCACGCAAGGTTGCAACAGCCAGAAAACTTCCCTCAAAAGGACTCTCACCTGGTGTGTGGCACAGCTTCCAGTGTTTCTCCTTTTATTTTGGAAGATAAATAACATTGGGGGTTTTTTTCCCCCTGAACTTTCCTCCTCCCTAAGCAAAGGATTTGCCCAACTCCAGAAGAATATTCCAGCAGCTGCAATGGCTCAGCCTGCAGCGATCTCATAATTGCTCTAGGATGCCCCAGTAGAAATAAAAGCCAATTGTTACCATTTGGGGAACCTTAAAAAAATTGCTTCTTTTGTAGTATTCTTTTGTACATTCTATTTTGCTATTCTGATCCTTGTACCTCCAGCAAAGTAGCAAACAATTTTTAAAAAAAAAAAAAGAAAAGAAGAGGCCTTGTTGCTCTTTGCTGGCTGTGCATTCGAGGAGGCATCTCGCCATCAAGAAAACTCAGCATGGAATAACACCCAGCTCAGCACCTAATACTGACCTTGTCCGTGGAAAGCAATTTCAGAGAGTCTAGGTATTTTGAAAAAATATTCAGATTGCATGGAAAATATGTACTTTTTCTGGGACCACATCATTAACTACAAGACATCAGATCCCGTGCATACTACCCAGACATTGGAAAAGGACCTGACACATTCAAACTGTGACTCCACGAAGATGTGTTCTTCAAGAATGAAACAGAACTTCTATTTAAAGAAGTCCCACTTCAGGAAAAGTTATTTTCCATTCAAAAGTCCCCTCTTAATATAACAACCCAGATATTTTTGCAGCCAGGCTCCACGCTGGCTTCTTGAACCAGGTCCATGGCCACTGAGAAGTGGGAGCTTCCACTGCCATTTCTGAAGGCACTGCTGTGACCCAACAGCCAGCTACTAGGGCTTGATTTATCCTAAAAGCTGACTGACATACAGCAATATATGAGGAGTGAAGTCTGATTCACTCAGACTCAGATCTTACATAGGTCATGCTTAGCCGCTGAAATCATCTCTTCCCTCTGCAAACAGAGCGGCTCTGACACAGAGCACTCGGTAGCTTCGGTAGCTGCCCTGGGGTCTCCCAAATCCACCTGGGTCCCTAAAGAGATCTCACTTGAGTTTGTCTGAATGATGTCAGTGTACCTTAAAGTGAGACGAGTCTGGAAAAGCTGTCGCATAGTGGTACTTACCCAGAGGCATCCCTAGGTGGTGCTAAGAATTAACTTTATGGTAATCTATATGATCTACTTTACTCTGATCCCTCCGGACAAACTTTACTCCTATTATTTTTTTAACAAGAAACTAAGTAGTCAGAAATATCAGCAATATAGGTAAAAAAGTGCCTTACGTGTTTTAAAACTTTGGCACAATTACTTAACAAGGAACTATGGCAGTCTGCCCAAAGCCTAAAACAGGAGTTGTAACGCATTTACTGCTGGAGGACGACAGCCATGAATTACAGCCTCCCCACAGATATCAACAGGATCACCTTTGAGAAATCTTATTTCTCAACAACCTGTTGCTGAAGATCGTAGAAATGCTTGGGAAACAAACAGCACTCTGGTGGCATATCTACATCTGTCCTAAGAACAGCTCATTGAGTTGGCAACGCTGTCTCAACCAACAGGTACCCAACGGACCATCGCTGCTGATGGTCACCTGCACCCCCCCTCAGCTGAACTCTGCCGACTTCATCCGGGTTTCGCCCACACTGGATGCCGGAATTAATTTTGGAAAGGGCCATCTCACTGAACATGCGGCTGCTGGTGCAGCTTTGTTGCTTACCCGACGCACCTGTGACGTCCAACGGGCGTTTCTTAAGAGCAGTAACCACTGGACCATCTTTTCTGCGCAGGAGGGGGCTGCTCCGTCTTTCAGCAACTTTTTGCTTTAGCCTGGATCGTAACTTCAGATTGGGTTCAGACGCTGAGCAGAGATAGAAAAGGCAAACAGTGGTTTGGTTAATGTTATTTCAGTATCTTTTTTACTCAAGGCAAAGGCTGGGGCACAGTTCAGCATTTGCAGAAGCCTAAACAAAATTTGTCATTTGATAGCACATATTTGGAGCAAACACTTCTTAATATAATGAACAGGTCCCAACCCATGTGATACCTCAATTCAGTGGCAATGGAAGTCATTGCCATTTTAATTAAAAAATAATAATTGTCCTGCAGCATCTTCTCTCAGATGAAGACACAGACTTACGATCTGCTGCGAGTGAGCTCAGACTACTACAGAGAGCATCATTCACATCCCCTAGTTTCCCCACCTTTGCCAAACTTGCTTCCAAGCCAGTAATAAACCTAATTTACAGGATCAAAAAATCAATACAGGAATTGGTGAGACAACAGAGATGTTGCTGTTTGGTCAGCGCGGAGCATCACCATGGGGCTGAGACGCTATCTGCGACGTGTTGCTGAAATGGGCTGCTCCACACCCTTGGAGTCATCCCACCCCGGGGTGAGCTGGCTCAGGGAGGCACACCAGGGCAGGGGGAATGAAAATATGAAAATCAAACCCCACAACCAAAACAGGTGAATGTTTTCCTGCTGGTTCATCTCCCTGAAGCAACTCACCTTGGAGTCAGATGAGCCCATGTCAACTGGAGTCAATGTCAACTCAAGGAGAAGGGTACGAAAGTGTGGCCAAGGCCAAAGCCAATGCCAGGGAGGAGAAGGTTTGTTTATTTGGGGAGCATCTTTCTTACATCGTCACAGCCACAAAGTTAAACCATATCTAAAACCACATCAAACGCTTGGAGAACTCAGGGCTGCCAAGGGTAGGTGCACATGCATTTCGTGAGACCACAGTCTGCCTTGCTTTGTATACATCACACCTTTGAGGGACTCTCCTAAAAACTTGTGCTGTACCCAAATCCTGAGACTTAATTGCTCCATAAGTCAAAGTGGAGCTCCTGGGAACCACTAATGCCTCTGGGTTAACAACAGCTGCCAACACGGAACACGTTTGCACGGCACGGCTTATCGAGTTTTCATGAAGGTAATGAAGCCCTAAGTCAAGATCCCTCCTGCAAGATGATTTTCTCTGTAAACTTTCTCATCTCTCGAGTATACATGAAATATCTGCTTTGGTGCTCGAGGGCTCCTGACAGTTATGAGATTTGTGAACTGGCCCAATCTTTTCCCTTCCTCAACCTCTTAACAACTGCACGGCTTAATCCCTTTGAACTGGCAAATCTTGTGCTCTCACCATTAACTACCCGCACACTCAGCTCCCTGCACTCCAGGGCCAATAATCTACATTTCTTTAGAAGAATTAAAACAGGGTTTACAAACCGATTTGAATTAACTAAGTCTGGCTACAGA